GCACGGTCATTTGATTTACAATTATGTTCTAATTATCCGTTCACACCACCTCAGATTTACGCATGTTTTATGCAATTTCCTTGGCAGTTCTTTAGGGTCAAACACGTTCGCACTTATGTTTTTCCTACTTATGTTACGGTCAAACACGTCGATACTTATGTTTTCCCTTACAATTCCTCTTAGTTACGCGAAGGATGCGCACCTGTATAAATAGGGGTTACCACCCATCTCGCTTAAGAGAATTAAGGACAAGAACTACTACCAATCTACCTTCATACAAAATTCCTCCTCACTTAGCGTGCCCGCAGTATACTTTTACTACTGTGTCGTACTTTCGTACAAAGTTATTAAGATAGTGCCGTACCCACACATTTGAACAGTTATGAGGTAAGAGGTCGCCTTTTCCTTTTAATTGTTGTATTAGGTCGTTTCCAGTTCGGTTTACGTGTATCCCCCATGATGCAGGGAAGGGGATGCGGGGTTATTAGAGGGGGTAGGACTTCAGGATTCTCTCGGGCAACCCCCCTAAAGAAGCGACTTACAGTGCTTACCAAAATTGAACCGTTGCTTACTTGTAAATTTGAAGTAGAGGGAATATTATTGGACTTTCTCAAGGACTAGAATACATGATCAGCCGTAGCATTACCAAATTGCATGCATCCAATCTTCCATGACACTTGCCCTGCTACAAACACTATATGATCCCTAGCTGTCAAAGAGGTGCCCAGAGTATCCTGATTGCGGCATTGTTTTTGTTTTTTTTTGTTTCACAGGCGAAAAGAGTTTTTTTTTCGCATGCCAGGTGGCTTGAGTATTTGGTCATTTGGATGAGCTTGAATTTACTATCACTCGGATATCCCAACCGGAAAGTGGTGCTCCTGGTAGCTAGGATCGAACATGCGCTGTAGGAGGCATCGCGGTACTCACTAGTGCTATGTGATATCTGCCATGAGGGAAAGTGATATCTATGTCCCTAGGTAGAATACATAGGCACGATATTAAGTACATGCGGGGCTGGAGTTTCTATCTGCAAATCCCTCAGATGCTGCTCGTTCAAAATATATATAGGAGTAATGATATGCTAGCTCGTATGGGAAATCGATATCGCTAATTTAGTTTTATAGCGGAAATTTGGCGGATTCTGCCGGGAATTTGTTCGATCGGTGTTTCCGGGAAGCATATATGTACTTATCCTGTCTCAGGATAGTTGTTTTTGATCCGCTTTTGGTATCTGGATGTTATTGGGTGTTAATTCTACCTTCAGTTACGGTATTTAGGTGGGCCTAGTTTTCCCAAAGACTAGGGTATTATAAAAAAAATAACCCTCTACCGGCATACTTGATGGGGATATGGAGGTTAAAGATAATGAGGGTCGAGCGCACCAACTTGTTAAGTTTGGTGAGAGATACAGGGGGATCTGCTACAGGCTGTAGTAGACATAAACTCGTACTCATAGGGCCATTCGACTACTTTCTCTGCAATAATTAGCGTAGGGAATCTTGCTGTTGTTAGCTCGGTGGATGACAAACACACCCAAAGCAGGAAACATTTCTTTAGGCCCCCAATGATCTTTGACTTGGAGGAGGGGATCTCTACAAGATCATAGTATCAGGCGGCCCTACCTGTAACAACCCGGATATGCCTTCCCCACCCAATCTTTAGTCTTGTTAAAAGCACTGGTATTAAAATATTATTAGGTATATTATTCCATTGGTAATTTCTTAGAAATTACAGGCGCCCGGGGAGGTAGTGAGATACGTAGAGGCAATTCAATCAGCTCCCGATAATTTCCATTGGTTTGGTAAATATAATAACCTCCTATCAATGGGGTTACAGGTTTGAGCTTGCTAGCCCGTGTCAGAAGAAAAAAATCGTCCGGGGGGTTAAGCTGACCCCACCGAACGATCCCAGAGAACCACCCTGCCTCGATCCTATCCCACTACTTGTTAACTAGTAGAATACGTGCAAAAAAGGAGTGTGGAGATGATCGGGGAACAAGCCTTGGGGCACCTGAGTATCGTGGGTTAAATCGCACTCGGAATTTTCACGGGAAAATTGGGTGAGAAAGTGCATCTTAGCTTATGGCGACGTCTTGGGAGCGGAAACTCGCTCGCCCAAGCCCCGCAGCTGGGCTCCTCGGAGCTTCAGACCTTCTTCCTCCTAGGAGGATAGGCGCAAGCCATAATGCAGCCGGTATTAGCTCTGTTGAAGAGACACAGTCGCGGCGTTGCAAACTCTAAATTAACTGCAGGAGGGAGATCCTCTTGGTGGATTTGATGTCTGATACTCAGGAGGGGTAGGCCCGTATTCTGTACACATATCTTGACAGAAAACATGTAACTATTTGAAAAGGCTAGGAAACCACAGCTAGCCTTATGTAGTTCGATGTGGCATGCCTTTATTACTCCCGAAGCCTCTAAGATACGAGATCTCACAGGAAATTTACCTGGATTTGCTGCGCGCCAGTCCTTCCGAGTTCATGAGTCCTACTTTTGGCAGGTTGATGCTGGGAGTTGATACCCATCCTAGATATCTTGTGGAGCCGATTAGCTAAGAAACGGGTCTACGAACTCGAAAGTTTTTTTAAAGCCTTAAAATGTTTTGTAGAGACATCCTACAAAGCTTTGTTCTAAGGAAAGGTGCAGTAGAATTGGGGTATTAAGTTACTAAGGGGGGGAAGGGAATCCCCCCAGCACGGGCCCCCAGAAAATACTCCTCGCAAGTCGTATGATAAAGCTCCTGCTGGCCCTGTAAACACCTGGGGCACTAAGTCTCTGTAGTAATGAGCCTTTCCCCTGGGAAACCTGATTTACGGTATAGTGGATCGAATGATATCATACCGTACAGCGATACTTTTTCTCCCCTGCCACCCCCCCCCCCCTTTTTTTTTACCTGTAATATCCGCAGAAGTGAGGAGAGGTTTGCACTATATGATCGTAATAATAGAATAGCATATTTATTTTATTTTATTTTATTTTATTTTATTTTTAAAAAGGAACAGTTATGATAGCAGGCAAGTCATATTCAGTGGACCCTGGGAGGGGATAGTGGAACTCAATCCTCCCCAATAGCTGTCTTTTAGTCTAGAGATATAGATATAGCCAGTGCAATTTAGGAAATTTTGAACATCCGCAGGAAGTCATTCATCACGATACCTTCAGGATGCGAGCTTCAAACCGGACACGATCTGCTAGGCCTTGGGCAGCTCTCTCTTGGACAGCACTTTTCCTTTCATTTTTCAAATCTACCCTCTTGCTAACATATGAGCCACAATCGACTCGGGGGCTGCGGCACACAGGAGTTCCAATATCATGTGATACGCGCGCAGAGGACACCTGATAAGGGACCGAAAGCGAGAAAAATCACTCTAACCCATTGCATAGCCTACTGTATGAACTTGAATAGCTAAACTTCACGCTAAGACGTCCAAAATTCCCTCTCTTGGGTAAGAGGGGAATACTGCGAAAAGTGATCCCTTCCGCCCTAGCTTAAGAAAAAAAAGGGTAAAGTGGTGCCACGACTTACCGGTAAAGGAAAGTTCAATCTCCTGGGGTGTGGTTCAATTTTTCGGGTTCCTGCAGTAGGGTGGCAGAGGAAGTATACCGGTATATAACTTTCAACGCGCTCCCGTGCAAAAATTAATACCCCCCAAATTCGGCAATCCCCACCGCGGGGTCCCCTCCAAGGAGCTTTACTACCTCAGCTCTTCCAGACATTATGAGTGCTGGAATGATGGAAAACATGGTGCCCTCGAGTGTCTTTCCGATGCCAACCTGTCGGCACTGAGATGTCGTAAACTGTACGATGTCTCAAAACAAAATTAGCACCGCCAACCTCGGCACACTAAAGGGTTCTAGACTCGTGAAGCAAGAGCGCTCGTCAGATCTTGTGCTCCCTTCCCCTGGCATCTGTCACCGTAGTCCTGACCAGTGAAGGAAATAGGATAACTCCAAATACCTGGTATTATAGGCTGCGAGTTTTTAGGGCTAGGGTGATGGTATAATGCGGCACGTGCGCCGGGGGTGGTTCCCTTAGACCCGTGGGCTTGCCCAAAGGTTTGGATTCCTAGGTTGTCGTGATATTGGCCAATCAGAGAGAAATGTATCTAAATTGGTTAAGATTACAGGTGCTGTACTGCTCGTGGTACGAGTAGGGCAGCCAGCCCGGAAAAATTTACGTACTTGTACTAGTACAATACTCGTACTCTAGCACAAGGGCACTAGCGCTGTCATACCGATACGTACCGATATCATACATCCTACCGTAGCCCGCCCTAAGCCAACGGCTTGGCCCACCTCCTAACCCCAAAAGGTGTAAACGGTAGTCTATCATCAAAGAGGGGAAGGCCAAGCTTATTGAGTGGCTAGGTCAGCGTTCAGTGGGTGAGCCCATTCCCCCGGGGGGGCGATGTCTGAACTAATCGGGGTAATAGCCCTGCCCATCATAGCGCTAAGCTATATAAAAGTGAGTGAAACTATGATAGGTATAGACGAAGGGGCGCTGTGCCAATTATTATGTGTCAGATTTATAAAATCTTGGCGGGAGAACACTACCACGAACAGCCCCGCCTGAAGGATTCAGGTAGGCCGGTCTGTGGTGTTGTATCCGAACAACATCATCCTTACCGCAATTGCTTTTCTGCAGAGCACGGGGCCCTGGCGAGAGAGGTATGATATGAATTCATTAAGAGGAAAAGCGCTATAACGGTATACTAAAAACCCACAGAACTAGAAGCATAATTCCTATGCATACTCCGGCGAAATCCACTCGGGAGCGCCCCTCCATTCTCTCCATCCCTTACCAAACACATGCAATGCGCACGTCGCTGGAATTGCTACAAAGGCCGTGATAATGCCTTGCGTAGCAAATGTCCATGTGAATCCAACAGTGTCGCACCATGGCGCTATGTAGAACGGATTCGCAAATGCCGACAGATTTAGCAGGACGACATAGAAACTTATCACCGACATCGCGTGGAGTGGGTAGCAATCTACTACATAGGCACAGACCGCGGTATTGCCCATCTGGATTCCCGCAGCCACTATATCTTCGTTAGTAACGACCGGCGCAATTGGGGATGGCGTGTTTTACCCAGGAAGAGGGCTACCTGACCAACCATCCAGTGGTAGCCCTTATCCACACTGATTCCCCATACTATCAATCCGACTTTCTATGGTCAGCGGTCGACAATCCCGGGACCCGTTAAGCTTACCGGAAGTGATGACAACAGCAGGGTATAAAAGCCACAATCTCATTTCAGCTACCCTCACATTATTATTATTCTTTGCAAGTTTAATAATGATCCAATCCCCCAGCGTCCCTGAGCATAATATCTCAGAGAAGAGTGTCCCCAAGATCATACCGCCATACAGGAGGCCTTGTATCTGGGGTCTGTAGTTTGGGTACGCAAGCGGGAGGTAGGTTATCACGGACATTATCCACCAGTACCTTTTATCTGTTAGGGATCGTCCAATTGTTCAGAGACGAGACTGACCATGAGAAACAGTAGACCATTACGGCAACCACTACGTTCGGGAATGTCCACATCTTGATAAATCGCACCAAGGTATCCCACGGCTTTGGATGCTCGATCCCCGGAACCATCCATATATTCAAAAATGGTAATTGTCTGGTTCTGGCAATGTCACCCGAAGCGGGCACGGTTACAGTCTTCTCGCTATTAGGGTGGGGCTTAGGGGATGTTGGTAGCTGGGAAAGCATGAGCCTCCTCGGATAGAGGGTTTCCGGAAAGAACAAAAGCTCCGCAACCAGCAAGACAGCAAAAAGGATGGCCGTAAGCCAAGCTACCCAATATTGGTCCACCAGACTGACGAATCCGCCGACTGCGAGGGTTAGCTTTTGGACGGCTCAAGGGATTGACTTCGGCATACTCAAAGGACCGACCAGTAATCCCATGTCTATTGCCAGAACCCACAAGCCGAGCTTTTGCCCACGCTCGTGCTCGAAGAAGAGATCGTTCACCACGGCCATTCCGACAGTTGAAGCCGGCGCAACGCCGAGGCCCTGGAAGAATCTGGCAGCCATGTAACTGCTGTACTTCTTTGCAACAGCAGAGCCGATAGTAGCCACCAGGGCGATCGTGGTGCCGGTGATCAAGATGATGCGACGCCCATAGATATCCGACAAGGACGACCAGATGAGCGGGCCCACGGAAAGGCCCAAAGCAGGGAGAGCGACGGTCCAGTTTACTTGGGAGTACGTGATGGAGTATTGCTCCTGCAAGAGCGGGAAGGATGGCACAGTGGTGGTGGTGATGTATGTGAACAAAAAGTACCTGCAAAGTCAGATAATGCACGACACAGCAAGGACGGAAGAAGGACAAAATCACATCCACATGACGACACCCAGGGCGGTCCACTTTTGCCATCTCGGAAAGTTCAAAGGGTCCAGGGGATCAGCGGTGGGTTTCGGGTGAAGCTCAATACCATCTTTGGCGGGGGTGTATTCCTTCACGAAACCGATCTCGTGCTGGTTATCGTAAGCGGGAACCCCCTTCTCGATAGAAGGCTGGTTCTGCTCCGCTTCCTCCTTCGACATGTCTGCTTTGCTGTGGGACGTTTCGCTGGGCCGGTTGCCTGGCTGTCACGGTACCGGTATTTATCAGGGGGACACAGCAGTGTAGTCCCTGGAGACGCGGAGTTTGTTACGTCTCGACCCTCGGGGCCTGTGGCGGTGGGTTTATCCTCTGATATCTATCCGGACACTGCAGTGGAAGCATATCTGGGATCACAGAAAGGGAGCGAGCACTGGAATCGCCCACGGAGCGGTCCTGGGCAGCACGGGGGTGGGGAAAGAGCCCCCCTCCCCCCGGTAAACAATCAAGGAGCTGGCAAATTCCAAAGATGCAAACGACGGCGGCAGGGGAAGCAAAGGCGACGATTGAAGCATGCACTAAACACGGTTGGTCATAGTTCACGGGGGAGATAACGCTTAAGCGCTGGCGCAATTATTTTTCTTCTTTCATGGAGCCCGCGATCCACCGGTAGAAGTAGCTGTAGGTGGGATGCCCTGAAATTCTCGACACGGCTCCGACACGACAAGTGCGACCCGGGACGCCCTGAGACACCAACACCATGGTGGGGTAATCACTGCAGGCTTACTACTACGATGCCATGTTCTGACAGTGTTCATCCCGATACCGGTAGTAGAGTAGGGTTGCTTGAGTACGGTAGGTACGAGCACCCACACCGGTACCGTACAAGTACCGTACGAGTACTTGAGTACCGTACCGGTACTGGCACAGCAGGGCATACCGGTACTGCACCGTCACCCACCGGCATTGTGGCAAAGGTGCGATATTAATAGCGGGGCCCGGTGAGCTCGTGTGGATTATGATACCACACTCGAAGTCTGAGCGTGCCGTACTTGTACTACCGGTATCGGTCGTAGGGTACCAGTGCAGTACGGTACTGTATCAGTGCTGTCCGCCCAAAAAAGGTAGGCACCCAACCGGTCACGGTTATCGGACCACCACCACGCTCAAACACGTTCACTCGCAGCAGAGTTTGGGGGTTTAGCTAATCGGCCGCAGAGGGGTATGATATGATATTCAATAACCCGCCATTTCCGACCCTTTATTCGTGAGTTGGTTGCCTAGCGGGTTCCGAAGCTCGGGGCCGTACGGTGCTGGTACTGCGTACGGTACGGTAATCCAGGGATTGGAGCACGGGCATCTCGCTTGCACGATGTTGCAGTCTGGGTAACGAGGAGTGTACTCGAGTACTAGAGTACCGTACCCGATCCCGCCACGAGCGGTGGCTTACGAGAACGGGATTGGCTGTTCGAGCGGGAGCCCAGCTGCTTTCGAACACGAGCGCGAGCTTCTGACTCATCCGCACCAACCTTACTTGCACCACCAACAAACCTGCACTACGGTACCCTCTCCTCCCCTTCCCCGAAGATTCCCCACCATCCTCCCATCCTCCCATCCTCCCACCACCTTTGGCCCAGCCCCTTCTCCTTGGCGTGCCGCCGTACCCTGCATAACTTTTACGTAAAATCCCCCGATAAGCAAACGCACGGGCATTGGCGCGGCTTAAAGAAAAAAAGGAGCCTTGATTCGAAACTCCCGTTTGGGTCGGCTGGTTCTGGTATGCGCCGGATACGGTACAGGATGCTCGATGCTTGGATCTGGTCGGCATTAGATCCTCCCTGCCAAGGTCGAGACCCCCGAGTTGCCGGTGGGGGAAGCTACCCGGGCACCGTGTGGGTAGCCCCCGCCTTGTTTGGTACAAGTACACTGCCATTAGGTAATTCTGGGGTGGGGAGAGTGGAACTTCACGAGATGGGTGGAGGGGAGAAAAAGGGAAAGGGAAAGGGAAAGGGAAAGGATAGGGATGAAAGTGGGATGAACGGCACCGCGTCTAAGCATTGTCGTGATGAGCGGAGAGAGGGGGAGATTCCCGACCATTTCTGAGGGTTTTCCTCATCGGTGTTGATGCTTGTGTTGAAGCTTCTCCCTCTTCCCTCCTCCCTTTCCTGAGCTTTAGTACTGGGGGCTCTCCTCGCTCTGTTTCAAGAGCTCGGGGTCATTGGTTGCATATCTGTTCTATGTACCTTGTTCCACGCTGGTCTGCCATCTGCCCTCTTCGCCGACTACTCGAAGCCAGCCCAGCATTGTATGCTGCAGCGCTCGTACTGTCCTAGCACCGTGCAGCAGTAGACATCTACCGGTATCCGCGAGCACCTTTCCGTCCACCCGTTCAATTATCGAAAAGCGAATATCCCCCAAGACAACAGACGTACAAACAACCCTCTCCTGCACCATAGAACGACGGGCCCTCACACCTCGTCCGTGCTATCTGAACCTGCACATAATCCTTGAGCTTCGCTCATGGATCCCACTACTACACCTTTGTCTTCGCCCTCTACTGCCGCAAAGATGCCATCCTGGCTCCTCTTCCTCCGCAAGAAAACAAATCCATCAGTAGAAACGGACGAGCGCATTTCCCTACTACCAAAGCCCCCGAGCCATGACAATGGCTCAGGAAGTGTGCTCTCGGAATTCGCCCTCCTGCTCGGCAGCAGCATCCCCGTAATCCTGGCCTACACGTTACAGAATTCCCTGCAAACAATCTCCGTGTTAATAGTCGGTCGTCTCTCATCCGAACACCTCGCCGCGGCTGCATTCTCTTACATGTTTGCTATGTCTACCGCCTGGCTGATCGCTTTGGGGGGGACAACAGCGCTGGACACGCTCTGCTCCTCATCCTTCACCGGCAGTAAAAACCCTCATGAACTCGGCATCCTATTGCAACGTGCTTTCGTGGTGTTGGGAGTATTCTATGTTCCCGTCGCGATCTTGTGGTACTACTCGGAGGGGGTCTTCCTGCTACTTGGCCAGAATCCCGGTCTCTCCAGCGATTCCGCTACCTTTCTACGCTGTTTAATACCCGGTGGCCTAGGCTATATATATTTCGAAGCCGGGAAGAAGTTCCTTCAGGCTCAGGGTATTATGCGCGCGGGGACCTATGTATTGCTGATAACGAGTCCGTTGAATGCGTTGTTGAATTGGTTGCTTGTCTACGTTTTTGGTATGGGTCTCATTGGAGCTCCGATCGCGACTGGGATTACGTACTGGGTGAGTTTCTTGGGGATTATGGGGTATGCTCGGTTTTCTCGGGGGTGGAAAGCCTGGGGCGGATGGGATAGGGCGTGCCTTAGGAATATGGGTGTGTTTGCAAGGCTGGCGGGGCTGGGGGTTGTTATGGTCGGGACTGAATGGGTATCAGTTAACTCTTGCACCCCGAAGGGACCGAGCGCTGACGGCTGTTCCAGTGGGCGTTTGAAATCGTGGCCCTAGCAGCTGGGAGGTTAGGCACTGTGCCCCTCGCCTCCCAGTCAGTAATTATGACGACGGACCAAGTTCTCAACACAATTCCCTTCGGCATCGGCGTCGCTGCGTCTGCCCGCGTGGGAAACCTCCTCGGAGCACGGGATGCAAAAGGTGCCGCGAGAGCAGCCAGTACCGCTGCTGTCCTCAGCATTGTGCTCGGAGCGGTAGTGATGACGGTAATGCTCATCGTGAAAGACTATTATGCAAAGATCTTTAGCGACGACGCCCACGTTATCAAACTCACCGCACAGGTCATGCCGCTCGTCGCGCTATTCCAAATTGCGGATGGGCTAAATGGTTTTCCCTCTTCAATTTCTATTCTCTGTCCAATTGCGAGGCTAACAATTTACAGGCAGCTGCGGAGGAGCACTGAGAGGCATGGGCCGTCAACATATTGGCGCAGCGGTAAACCTTGTCAGTTACTACTTTGGTGCCCTGCCATTAGGCATCTGGCTCGCCTTCCATGGCTGGGGGCTTAAAGGTCTTTGGGTCGGGCAATGTATAGCATTGTACCTTGTCGGGGCGATGGAATGGGCTCTCGTGGGGTTTAGCAATTGGGATAGGCAGGTTGTGAAGGCGTTTGAAAGGATGGAAAGCGATGAGCGGATGGAGCAGGGGGGGCTCTGATAGTTGACACTTTGGCTTGTAGTGGGATAAGGAAATTTTTCTTCCATTGTTACGGGGTAGGTATCATAGGTATTCTGGATATGTTAGATGGATGATAGAGGAAATGATCGAATGAACAAGTTAACCTGGTAACTTGGCGTGTAACCTTGGTCTGGGGATCAGTAGTACCCGAAAGATAGCGTAAATGATGAATTTTCAGGCGAAAGGCACAGTTATTGTGACCGCACCACCAGCCGCCACTGGGGGAACACAGAACATACCGGTGCTCGAGCACAGTAATTTACGAGTACGAGCACAGTATGATACTCGTACAAGCACTGGCTGCCATTGGTCCAGCTCCAACGGCCAAATCCTACTGTAACCAATCGCCCACGGAACAAATATTATCCGCCTTACCCTGCCTCCCTCGTGCACGTCCATCGGCTCCGGACCAACCCCATTCGATGAACGAGCATATTCCCTTATCTCGCGTCCCCAAGAAGTCACCAATCCCTGCCCCACTCTCCGCTAAACAATCCTCCATCCATCCAATGCTCCAACCCTTCCCTTTTTTCTTTTCCTTCGATCCTGACCCTCTACCGGTATGTCCATCGCCTTTTCAAGCTGGTTCGCAAGGAAGGTTCGCAGCAGAAGCAGCTTGTGGGCAATTCAAGGTAAGTGAGGCTTAGTCCCCGGCCGAGTTTCCATTAGCTAAGAGAGATAAGGTAACGGGAATAATTTCTTGAACGTAAGATGAATCAACCGTTGCCGGGAAATTCGGGGTTACGTAAGAGTAGGAAACCGCACCACGACATTCCCGCAGCAGTAAGGGTTACTATCATACGGTAGTCGTGTCCCGTAAGGGGAAGTTTAGACGTTCGGGCCGCATACGGTAGTTATCCCTCACCTCACTCGTTCGCCAATTCTCCCGCTTCACTCGAGTTCGATGGAGGGAAGGATCACCGATTGGGGAGGAGCGGAATACCGGCAGTGAGAGTGTCTGGTCTTACTCTGGATTATCTATCACTTTGACGAATTGACTACCGGCTACTCTGCTCGTGTTGTCGCCTGGCTAGGAAAATTATTAGGTGCAGGAAGATGTCGTCCCGATTCCCCCCAAACTCTCGAGTACGGCACTGCACCGTATCGTGGATGTGCTGCAGGCTAACGGTAAATTTAGTCAACTTGTGAGATAGCAAGCACGGAGCTACAATGCCATCCCATCCCCGAATATCAAGCCTCTGGGGCAACACAACACACTGACCACCGCCCTTCCACCTTGAAATCTCACACCCGTAATAACGCACGCTGCCGTACAACACCGGCGGCCGGTGAGGTTAATCTATTACGTACGAGAAATCAACCCAATTCCACCAAATGGTGATGGTAATTGTATTCATACCAGGTACCGGGCCTGCTGTACGTTGGTAATAGCCTTTTCCATCGCCTTTTGTGCCCCGTGCTTTGAAACGTGTAATTGAGTCCGGGGAGTACAAATATTGTGGTAGGTAACGTGAGTTGGGTCGATTAAATTCAGCAAGATTGAGGGAGAGGTCTGTCGAAAAAAAAAAAAAAAGTGGGGAAAATATACATCAGATATGTTTACCAAGGCTTTACTTTTCACCGCTTTGGCGGGGCTAGGCGGGGGGGTGGTCTGGGGACACGAGCATTCCGGGAGCTTGCAGGAACACTTGAGTGCTCAGGGGCCGCATAGGGAGAGGTTGTGGTATAATGTCCTGCCGGGGGATGGGGGGACGCAGGTATCCTTCTTCCATTGCCCTCCCTCCGCGACCCAATTTGCGGAAGTGGTGAATCTAATGATGGAGGGATGTTACAGGCGGACAGCGTCTTCAGCGGAATCTCAACGTTCGGGAGAATACCCTACTTTCCGTGTCTATCTTCCGATGAGGAGAGGTTTGATATAGCCTTCTTAGGTACCCCCTCTCTTCCACCAACCCTACGTAGTGATTGCAGTGGTTAACGGCCCCAGGCGCCCCCTTCGACACCGGCACCTCATATCGCCCCGGTGCACGTTTCGGCCCATCCGGAATCCGTCAAGGTTCCCGCCGTCTAAACCTCTAGTAACCCCCCCCCCTTCTTCTAACTGACAAAACCTGTACATCCAGGCTCACACAAACTCTCCTTCAGCGGCGGTTACAATACCCTCCTCTCAGTGAATCCCTTCAATTCTTGGGCGCGAGTGCTAGACTGCGGTGATATCCCCGTAACGTCCTACGATAATGCGTACGCCATTAAGCAGATCGAACAGGGGCACTACAGTCTCTTGTCCAGGACGCCAGCGTACGGAGCGGACGAGGGGAGAAGGGGCCCTGCAAAAGGTGGAAAGGTGTTGCCTAGGATTATCACGCTTGGAGGTGATCACACGATTGTGCTGCCGATCCTTAGGAGCGTAAAGAGGGCTTATGGGCCGGTTTCTGTTATTCATTTTGATAGCCATCTGGATGTGGGTCCTACTGTCAAAGCTGTGCAGGGGGGGGGGGGGGGCGAGAGCTGATGATAGAGCGCGAATAGACCTGGATGCCAAAAGTATTCGGCGGTGCGCCGACTGAGCAGGCCTCTATTAATCACGGGACTTACTTTGTACGTTTCTTCCTTCCTTCCCTCCTTCCTGCCTGCCTACCTTCCCCATCCGCTTCCACTTTCTATGTGCTGATATTTTCCAAAGTGGCACGCATATAAAGAAGGCCTCCTAAAAAATAACACCAACATCCGTACGTCCACCTCTTCAATCCTCATCACTACGGAACCAACTAATGCCCACCAGACGCTGGAATAAGAACCACACTGTCCGGCCCCAGCGACTACGAGAATGACGCCGTCGTCGGCTTCGATCTCATAGAAGCGCACGAAATCGACGAGATCGGCGTTGGTGGAATAGTCAAGAAGATCCGGGACAGGGTAGGCGAAGGACTAGTCTACCTCTCAATCGATAGTACTCCCCCCACCACCTCCTCTTTGTTCTCCTGTGCATGGGGAGTTATTGTTAATGCGTGGGGGAGAACAGTCGACTCATTAGATCCCGCATTCGCACCGGCCACTGGAACGCCCGAGACTGGGGGGTGGAGTACGCGCGAGTTGAGGGCTATCATTCGCGGTTTGGATGGGCTGCAGTTGGTTGGCGCGGATATTGTAGAGGTTGCGCCGGCTTATGATACTAATGCTGAGTTGACGACCATGGCTGCTGCGGTGAGTCTTCTTCTTTTCTTTGCGAGGATTTTGGGGGGCTGATTGGCATTAGGATGTGCTGTTCGAAGTCATGAGCGTTATGGTCAAGACGCCTTTGAAGAGCGTTTGATGGACCCCGCCGATGTCTGAAGGACAGGCTGATACCCATGACCGAATGATAGATAATGACATCACGAAATCTCACTCGTTCCAAACCCTTCAGTCTAATCATTTCTTACAAACAAAAACTCCTCCCAATCCCATCCATTAGAGCCCAAGAGATGTGATAGTATGATAAAACAAGACAAAACAACCCAAATGCCACGGCCACCATCCATCCCCCTTCCCACCCTCCTATTCGCTCCCTTGACCATCCACTTCACCCCCCATCCCCCGCTCCACTGCTAGCATGGCACGCCGCGCTGGACCAAAGTGCTGCAACCACCCATGCACGGCAGCGCACCCCACCTAACACTCTTCGCCCAAACGGGCACGGCACCGCGGGCAGCGGTGGCGTGAGTACGTGCACGAGTATGAAGCCCGGAGGAAACTATCCGGTGGTATACGCCGCCCCCAGCCAGTGCTTCACTAGTAACGCCGCGTTCAAGAGCGTGACGTTGACATTAAATAGGGATGAAAAACTCACGCACGCGATCCCCGCTGCCGAAAACTTTATGGCGACCTGGGGTGGAATGGTGATTTACACGCTATAGAGTTGTCCGCTCATGTGTCTACTGCGGCGCAGGCCTCCTCATGAGAGAGCGTGCGTGTAGACTTCCGCTGCGAGCGTGATGTTGGCCGGGATATGTTGTAGCAGTAAGAAGCGGATGCTCCGCAGGGCCAGTCCGCCCAGGGATAAATGTACCGGACAGGAATGGTGGAGGTTTGTCTGGGCGAGGCCCATAGGGAGCATGTTGGCGACGGACATGTCCAAGGAATTGGTGCCGTGGTTTACCATTAGGATGCCCCAGGGATGGTGATAGTGCCATTAAAAGTGAAGAAGCCGAAAAGGTTGCAAGCAATCCGGATCAGAAATGAGACGGTGGCCCAAATGTAGCAGGTACCATCGCCGTGTGCCTATGCGCGTGGGGGCGAGGGTGTAGGTAGGTAAGCCTAGTACTCAAAGACGGATTTCGAAAAGGTAGACATCCCCTCCGTCGTTTCGTCCTGAGTTTCCGGGAAGGACTCTATCGCATCACCGGGCGTAAAGAGCAGCGGGCTCATTCGCGACTCCTTTGCCATGGACTGGAAAACTGTTTCCCAGATTATCGTCGTGAGTAGTATGGCTCCCGCGGCAGCAAGAAATATCGGTCTGCGAACCCTGGTCTTGCAAATGGGTCCCTCCCCTGGGAAGTGCCCTGGGAGGCAATGGTCTACCCGTACCCTGCCGGCCCGGCCTCCGACCGCTTCTGAATAATCGCCGTGGATTGCATTCCTGGCCCTCATCATAGGGCGATGGCGTGTGCTTGTGCACTCTACACATCCAGGCAGTCGCGCGCCCAAATTGCCGCTGCTTCACCACTCCTTGTTCCAACATCCCGCCGGAGCCACCCCCTGGATCAGCGCCCCTGCTCACGGCGGGGAGGTGCCTATATCCCGTCCTGTAGTCATCTAGGCAGATGCCAAATCACCTACCTGGAGATAGCACTTCCTAAGCCCCCTCTCGCTCAGAGAATAGTTCACATATATCTGGCGTTATCTCTGTCGGAATGTCCTTAGAATGGCGGGCTTGGGCGGGCCAGGCATCGCAGCGCTTCTCTGCATAATGGAAGCGGGGCCGTGCCTAAGGGCTCTCTTGCGACTGCGGCGTCTTAGCTTATCGCTACGTGCGTGCTGAAGAAGGAGGTGGAAGTGAGTCCAAGAGGACGATCCCCAGGCGTCAGCAATGTGATAACCAAGCACTTCCTGCGGAGAGACAGGTTCTGTATATTCCGCCGTGAGAGGAGTCCAAGATCAGGATATTCGTGCGTTGCGTGCAACTTTTTGACTTTGTTCCTACTGGGTGTGCAGATTGTTTGCGCAGTGTCCGAGTACAGTACATCCACCGACAAAACCGCCAGCAACGCACGACGTGCTGTACAGTGTCGGTACCCTCAACATGCCTGTAATCACGTCCGGAATATGTATCCAATTCCCCGCACGTCTATCGGTGAGAATCCGGGCTCGGGAGTAGACCCTCTACGTGCTAAGGCGGTACTCAACGCTCCTCGTTCGTGATTGTCTGTCTTCAGACCCGGGGTCTCGGTATCAACGATCGGGGGAGCCTTCGCCTTCGCTCTCGCCGGAGTAGAACCGAGCATCTTCGCCAGAGGGCGGAAGGGGCGCCTGATGGTGGATGGGTGGAGGGTGCCATACGTGTTTGGCGGAGATGATAGAAGAAATTTCAAGGAAAGGGGATGTCGGTGATGATAGGGTAAGACGGGCTGATGGGGCGGTCGGTTGCATGCCATCGGCTTGCCTTGTTTGCTTTTTAACTGGGCAAGCTGGAGCCATCACGTTGGTGGGATCGATGGGTGGAATGGTGATGCGCATTGCCGGTGGTGCGGCTCTGCTGCCGGCAGGGGTGGGAAGGACAATGTAAACTTCCGGGATGAATGGACCCGGGGATGGAAGGGCAGGCGGGGATTAAGTTATCGGTAGTATCAATCACTGACGGTGAATTGATTTGAGGAAGCTGTTTACGACTTCTCCAACCTAGTCTAGGCAGCTCGCATACCGGTAGTGCACCAGATTATACCGTGCTCCAGCAAGTTAACGCAAAGGTTTTCTTCCCGGCAATGATCCTTCGCACCCAATTACTACCCGCCGCCTTTGAATAATACTTTAGGAACCAGGTTGAATCAGCTGACGTGCTGCCGTAAATTACAACTATACGGTACAATATCGGGAAACCGTATCTCACACTAGAATATTTGATGCCTAGTAATGGTGTAACCTTCTACAAGAGTCGATGATGTAGAAAACGCTGATAAATCTCGTTTCCTTATATAGCAGGCGAACCTTAGATCACCAACCTGCAGAGATTAGATTGGACCACGGCTAGACTAAAGACCCTAAAACGAAGATCTAGTGGTATGTGAGGAGGAGGAGGACCTCTCGCAGGAGCGTGCTGCTGAGGGGGAGCTCAGTGCCGTAGGACCCACGTCGTTCTTTCCGCAACGTCCATCGAGGTAGCAGGTGGTTTCCCACACTGGCCCAGCTAACGGTGTCTGGTAATTTTACGGCAAGTTATCGTACTCTCTCGTAATGTATCGAATCCTACGCTATGTAATTGAATCATAACCCTCAAATTGTACGATTGACGGTCTGTGATGGGTTCAGAAGCAAATCCAGGAAAGAGAGGTGATAACTACGCTACCTACTTGGATACGATAGTGCTCAAGTGTGGCGATGTGTGTGGACAGACTTGGAGAGTCTTAAGCTTCTCTTTACACTTACTATACTAACCACGGGAACCTTTATCTATGGTTTATGCTCTGGGGTTCGATATACTAAGGGTGTCGTCCATATTGCAATTGCTTTCAGAGCTGTTCACCCGTGATCTGCCCTCATATCCCTGCTATTCTAGTAGCGGATGGTGAAGCCTATAGTCGAAGACTATCCATCATATCCAACTGCTCTCTCAAGTTGCCACATAGGTTACTTGTACGGTGCCACCGTACTTGAGTACCTATCGAAGGGTGATTAGTTTCGACGCATTCGTTTTCCCTGACCTCTAGAAAGGTGGGCTGGGCTGCGGTAAATGCAGCAGCCTGCTGTGGCACTACACAGCGCTAACCCGCCTGAGTAATGTGCTAGTACTCGGGGGTGTCGATTAATACGAAAAGCACGGGCCCTTCTGCCATACCGGTAGGAGTTCATGTTGCAGAAAGTGACGACAACTTGAGTTTCCTTATGGCAAGCAGATTTTACATGGCTAACCTACTGATATTAGAGGGTAGCTAGACGAAAGGCTTAAAAGATGAGGATTTAGTAGAGTGTGGGAAGGATTTTGCGTTGGAGGGTGCTACTGAGGAGGAGCCAAGTTGGGCAAGTGGTAGGATATCCTTATCCGTAGTCCGCGGGGGGGGGGGGGGGTCGTAATTGTGTATCATATCTGAAAAAAACTAGCTTGAGATTTCCCCACTATTCTCCGGGTGTGTAAACCCTCCCCCCTTCTTACGTCTCCGATGAGATAGAAAGTGTATCTTTACACTAGCCCGGCCAACGTGTCTGGTAAGTTACCGCGCTGTATCGTATCGTATCGTATCGAATGATAGACCGTGTTCCCCTCAGCGACCACTAACGTTGAAGGCATCTGGGCCTGGATCCGTGTAAATCACAGCTTGCGAGTGGTCA